CCTTTGTAACGTTGCTTCGAAATCAAAAAGACCAAATTGATTAGTTTTTCAATTACTTGGGCCATAGTAGAATAAGAAGGGACTTGAGGGGTCAAGGCGAAATTTGTGAAAATTATTTCATGCATGCAAACCAACGTTCACGGCCAAAGCTTCTGCAATTCCATTTCTTTCTACAATTTCTGATATGCGTAAGTTGCAGCAATTCATCACTAGTGAACTATCACACATTTCTCAAGTAAAATCCAAGCAAACTATCACACATTTCTCTACTTTGCAAACATGAAACTTGTAAATTTACATTTCTTAAACTAAAGACACAGCCATGGTAGTTCAAAAAGAAAACAGCAACAAGAAAAGAAATGGGTTATGGCCGGAAAACCAAAACTGCGGCAGAATTTCTTGAGTGAACTTTGCAGCTTGTTTCATGTGGTTGGGTCCTAAATAAACTCTATCAATGCCACAAATCCAATAACGGATGCAAGACTCTCACTCATGTTGTTCACTTTACTCAAACACAGCCATCTATTACCCGCAAAAGATTTAAACAAATCATCCAAATACAAAGTGAAGCCAAGTAATGCAAGGATTAGTGGCTACTTCATTAGACCAGAAATTCACTTGAGAGTGTTGTTAGCAACACACAAATGCACATGTTCACTCTCAACTGGTCCCATGAGGCTACTTCATACGGAAGAAAGAAATAAACAGACAACCTATATGCCAAGCAATAAGGGGATCACTGCTGCAACAAGGATGAAGCAAAACCTGTTGTTCAAAACAGTTTTGCCCAAGAAGAAAAATTCAGATTTTAGATGTAAACACGCAGCTTTGTTCAACAAATTTCGACCAAAACCATAACCTATAACTAAACAACAAGATATATAACTAAAAAAAACATATCAGCAAAACACATAAGCAAGACTGATGCAAAGCTGGGGACACGTTTAAACACTTTCTTTGGGGAACGAACACAGCTGCAACCAAACCAAAAGTTTCGACATTACTATGAAACCAGCAACTTGAATTCACTCACGGGTTTCTTTCTGTGCAAATTCAGCTTTCATACGTGCAGGGAGACAACAAAACAGGTTCCTTAAACCTCAACCAAGGTGTAGTTCTCGCTGGTTTCTTGATGAAAATCAGAGCTGATGATGGGGTTGGGCTCTTTCTTTGGTTCTCCTTAGGATCTTCCCCTTCCTCCTGGTCCTTTCTTACGCTGCTTCCCCCTTTGGCTTTTCTTGCTCTCAGCTTTTTCCAAAGAAAAACTCCCTGCCGCCTCCCAGTTTTGGTTTCTTTCTTGCCGTTCCTCTCTACCTTCTCTCAAACTTAGTTGACAGCCTCTATTCTCTCCCTTCCTTTTAGCTCTCTGCTTGCTCTCCAAAACTTCCCCTTTCGGTCACCTCCTCCACAGCTCTTTTGAGTTCTTCTCTTCTTTTTCTTTTCGTATCCCTTTTCTGGTTTTTTTCTTTGCCGTTCTTCCGTTACTCTCTTTCTTAACTCTCTTTTCCCCTCTACCCCCCTTTGCGGCTGAATCTCTTTTTCTTTTATATCCCAGTTCAACCCTAAGAACCTCTGTCCTTTTTCTGTATTTTTGCAGCTTCAAGAGCCGTCCCAGATTTTTTTTGCAAACGGCGCAAGTCCGCAGCTTTGATGCTGCGGCAACAATTTTCCTTTTTTTCTTTTTTTTTTCAAAAATAGGCCAATATACATTAAACCATTTTTCCCTTTTCTTTTTCCCCCCTTTTTCTGTTTTTTTTTCTTTTCTGTTCATTTTCATTTTTCTCTCTTTTTCCTTTTTCTAAAAAAAATCTACGCTAAAACTTATAAATTAAAAACTACAAAAACAACTAAAAACTAAAAAGGGAATAAAAATAAAATAAAACCTAAAAAAGCTAGACAAACGAAAATGAACTAAAATGCAAACCGTCTAAACAAAAATCAACCAATTATCACTAAAACCAAACATACAAAATTAATTCAAAAATTTGGTGTCTACAGCAGACATTTCCCCTCTTTCTTCCAGCAGTTGTTCTTAGAATGGTTTGGCTTCCCGCAGTACCCACAAGGTCCACGGGACGCCGAACCTGGACCCTTCTGGAAATTTCCTCCTTAGCCTCTCCCAACTAGGCCATCCCTGGATTGAGCCCTTCTGCCTACTCCCGACTGTCGTCCCCCTTCGGCTCCTCGTCCAAACTTGGGAGGGGCACCTTTATCTCCCTACCCTGAACTGCTTCCAAGAAAGCCTCGCTTCTTTACCTGAAAGTTCCGTACCTGTAGCCGAGCGCTCTCCACCCGTTGGGCTTTCTCCACAGCCTCACTAAAAACATTAATCTAGGCTACCGCGAGATTCTTCTGAATTTCTACGTTCAAGCCTTGGATAAAGCGCCTTATCCGCCGTTGCTCAGTCATGATCAGTTCGAGGGCAAACTTAGATAGGCGGGTGAACTGGCTCTCATATTCCGCTACAGACTGGGCCCCTTGGCGAAGTTGGATAAACTCATATTCCTTTCATTCCTGAACTAGAGGAGGGAAGAATTTAGCATTGAACTCTCGCATGAAATTCACCCAAGTCCGGGGCGTTTGCTCTCGTTCTCATTTCTGTCGGATGACGTTCCACAAGGAACGGGCGACCCCTTCTAGTTGGAAGACGGCGAAGGTCACCTGCCTTTTCTCGGTATAGTGCAAGGTAGCAAAAATATCCACCATTTTCTCTAGCCACCTTTCGACGACATCCGGATCGAGCCCCCCAATGAACTTCGGTGGGACGAACTTCTGGAATCTCTCAAGAGCCCTGTCGTCACTCTCCACGTGGTTGCCAGGGTTAGGATTAGGGTTTTGGCCCTATTGTTGCACCACTTGTGCCAATAAATTGGTCATTTGCTGCATGGCAGCAGCTATCTGGACGTTAGGGTCAACCCTAGGTTCAGGGTTGGGTCTAGACAAGGTCTCCCGAGCGCCCCTGTCTGACGTGGGTTGCCTACTCCCGCGCCCACGTCCCCGACCACTACGTGTGCCCTCCATAGAGTCTATTCGATCTAAGTAAGCGTAACTAAAACAATGAAATAACAATACTTGTAAGAAAGAAACCCAAAAGCTTTTACACTAAAGCATATATACATTCCAAACAAAGTTAAACAAAGCACATATTAACAAGCAGTCAAGTCAAGTACAACAAAACAATCCACAAGGGAACGGTATCATCACAAGTAATATATACATCGCTAGTCCAAACGTACAAAAACGGCTAAAAAACTCTCTCGATAGATAGGTTTCTAAATATAGTATCTTAGGGTTTTTGCATGGAGGGTCCTCCGTGGCCGCCGCCGGCCACAGGAGGAGTACCCGGCTTGTGCAGCATCTTCCAAGTCTTTTGCCGACGTGCTATCTGGTTCGGGTCGCCTAGAGGTGTCAAGGATTCCAGATCTGGGCTGTTGTTCGAGTCATAGAGGGGAGTCGGCGCTGCGCTTATCCCAGAGTGACTTACACCTTCTCTCTACGCCGTTTAAGAATGCACTGGTTGGAAGATTTCCGTTTCGTCGGCCGCCAATGGAGGTTATTAGAGGATTTTTCGTTTCGTTAGGTCTCAAGGGAGCCTGTGAGGTGGGTCTCCTGGATTTGAATCACGTTTTGATCAGGCCGTCAACTGAGGAGGATTACACTCGGCTGTTTGTGCGCCGTTCCTGGTTCGTGAAGGGAGCGCAGATGCTGCTATCAAAGTGGACGTTGGATTTCAAAATTCATCAGGACTCAACATATGCTCCGGTGTGGGTTTCACTCCCAGCACTTCCTTTGCCTTTGTTTAATGCAGTGTATATTGCCAAATTAGCTGGTTTGCTAGGGCGTTGTTTGAAGAGTGACGCGGCGACATTGGCTCTTCGGCGTCCTTCGATCGCGCGGGTACTGATATAGATGGATGTTTCGAAACAGCCTCCACACAGAATTTGGATTGGGGAGGACCAGGAGGGGTTCTGGCAGGATGTGGAATATGAGAGCTGGCCGAAGTTTTGTGGGTTCTGTAGTCGGTTTGGGCATGAAGACGATGAGTGTTATAGGAGGAATCCGGATCTTCAACCTCCCAAAGGTTTGCTTAAGAGGACAGGGAAGGCAATGGAGGTTTATAGGCCTAAGGTTAACAATGGGCAAGGTCTCCAGCAGCGGGAGACATTGACAAAACAGGTGGAGTCGCAACAGCGTACTGATGGCGCCTTGGTTTTGGGCCGGGGAATCGAGGGGAAGATTGACGCCAAGTTGGATACAGAGGTGATTGCTCCCTCTGGGCTGGAGAATGCGACGGCTGCGATAGGACGGGTGGTGCACAGCCAAGAATTGAATTAGGCTCGGAAGGCGCCAGCGCTATCGACATGTTCTGTTTCGGTAGCAACGGAGGCAATGGTTGGTACTGTGACTGATCCACTTGTGGATGCTGCTGATGTGCTTGCTACTATACCTGAATCTTCTTCGAGGGATGCAAAGGAAGTGGAGCAAGGTCCGGAGGATTGGGAGACGCAGAGTTTGGTTGCGGTTTCCTCTAATCCCTTTGCAGTGTTGCACACTATCAGACTTGGAGGTGCAAGATTTTGACCGTACTCCTTCTAGGTCAGCGAGCCAGATTCGGCCAGCTAAACTAGGTCACCGACGGCATTGCTCGTACGGGGATATTCCGGGCGAAGTAGCGCTGTGGGAACAGCTAAAGCAGTTTCAAAGGGTGTTGCATAGGCGGCTGTCCGATGGTCCTGCAGAGGGGCTGAACGAGTTGGAACAATCCTAGGGCGCGAAGTATGGTCGGCATGCAACTCCGCACAAGGGTGGCCGATCGGTGAGAGCTCCTATTAAACAGGTTCGCCTTCAATCTCAAAATCATTACTCTCTACGATCTCATGTTAAATCCCATTAAGTTGGTTGTTTGGAATATACGTGGGGCTTCTCGCAAAGACTCACTTAGATATTTAAAGAAGATCTGCACACATAATAAAATAAGACTTTTGGTACTTCTGGAACCCATGTCGGATAGTCCTCAATTGGAGGTGGTTCGTCGGTTCCTGGGGTTTGATAAGGCGGTGGGTGCTTTGCATAATAAGGTGTGGGTGTTTTGGTTCAATGAGTTGTCATTGAGCTTCAGGGAGTTAGCCGATCAACTCCTTCACATGCACATTTTTTTCGCTTCCGGGTGCTCCATTCATTTGTCGGCGGTTTATGCTCGGTGCTCGAGGGTGGGTCGTCGTGATTTGTGGACGGCACTGGAAGGTTTGGCGGGGAAAGGTGTCGGCCCCTGGTTAGTGGCAGGGGATTTTAATGTCATTTCCAATACGGAAGAGCGAGTGGGAGGGTCTCCAGCTAATGCCAGGAACATGGAGGAGTTTAATGACGCTATTGGCAATTGCAGTTTGTCCGAGGTGCCTTTTGATGGGGCGTTGTTTACTTGGACGAATGGTAGGGTATGGCAGAGATTAGATAGGGCTTTAATGAATCAGGAGTGGGCAGATGGGTATGAGCTCTCGCATGTCTCTCACTTGTCCAGGGGCCGGTCAGACCATGCTCCACTCTTGATTAATTGTCACAATGGGAATCACAGCAAGCGGTCGTTCAGATTTCTGCATGTTTGGAGGAAACACTCGAGTTTTTTGGAGGTGGTTCAGCAGGGTTGGGCGGTGCCGGTGGAGGGTGAGGGTATGCCGAAATTTTATAATAAGCTGAGGGCTGTTAAGGGCTGCCTGCAGGTGTGGAATTCCCAAGTATTTGGCAAAATTTTTAGCAAGGTCCGGGAGGCCGAGGCTTTAATGAAGCAGCGGGAGGAGCAGTTTGACTCTGAGAGGGATTCTGCGGCCAGAGCAGCGTTGGAGGAGGCAAAGACTGCTTATGCCAGGAGCTTGGCATTGGAGGCTGAATACTGGAGACAGAAGGCGGGCATTAAATGGTTGCAGGTTGGGGATGCTAATTCAGCATTTTTCCATTCCCACTGCCGTCAACGCCGTAATTTTAATTTTGTTGCCCGCATTAGGGATGGCTCGGGTACATGGTTGGAGAATACTCAAGCCATACAGCAGTTAGCAGTCGAGTTCTTTTCGGCTTTGTTCGCTTCAGATCACCAGCGGGGGCATTCTCCGGTGATGCCTTTCTCGATCCCTCAGGTATCTCCGGCAGACAATGACATGTTATCTGCTCTGCCTGACATGGCCGAGTTAAAGGGGGTGGTTTTCGCTTTGGACATTGATAGTGCACCAGGGCCAGATGGGTTTGGGGCCGGGTTTTATCAGGCCTGTTGGGATATCATCCAGTGTGACTTATTGGAGGCGGTTCAGGCTTTTTTCCAGGGTATGCGCTTGCCTAGGAGTTTTACTAGCACATCTATCATTTTATTGCCTAAGATCGCAGGCGCTATGCAATGGAAGGATTTCTGCCCAATTAGTCTTTGCAACGTCTGTTCTAAAATAATTTCTAAGCTCGTCTCAGATTGGTTGGGACGGGTTCTCCCAGCCTTAGTATCCCCGTGGCAGACTGGTTTTGTACCAGGACGGGGGATAACGGATAACATCCTTCTGACGCAGGAGCTGGTGGCAGATTTAGATAGGCGTTTGCGACATCCGAACCTTATGTTAAAGTTAGATATAGAGAAGGCATATGACAGGGTCGAATGGCCTTTCCTTTTGTACATGCTTCGGCAATTTGGTTTTGCGGAGCAGGTGGTTGACATGTTCTTTCGTTTGGTGTCCAACAATTGGTTTTCAGTATTGGTGAATGGTGAGGCTGCTGGTTTCTTTAAATCCTCAAGGGGTGTTAGGCAGGGTGACCCGGTTTCCCCTGGCCTTTTTGTGTTAGTGGCCGAATTTTTGGGTCGTGGGTTGCAACACTTGCTGGGGCTGCATCCCGGCAGGTGTTTTGCTACGGCAGGGTGCCCGGTCCCGTATCTGGCTTTTACGGATGACATGCTTCTATTCACTAGATGCTCAGAGGAATGCCTGTCAGCGATAAAGGGTTTTTTGTTGGAGTATGAGACGGCGTCAGGCCAAAGGGTGAATGTCAACAAGAGCTCTTTCTTTTTGCCCTCGCGGGCTACGCCCGATCAGGAGCAGTTGGTGACTAGGGTTCTAGGCTTCCGCAAGCAGGCTTTTCCATTCATCTATTTGGGTGCTCCTATATATAAAGGTCGAAGACGGGGTGTTTTGTTTGATGATATTCTCTCGAGAATGCGGGATCGACTTGGCCACTGGAGTACTAAGTTGCTCTCCTTTGGGGGTAAGTTAGTCTTGGCACGGCATGTACTAGCATCATTGCCCATGTACTTACTTCAGGTGTTAAATCTTCCGAAGGTGGTACTTACACAGTTAGGGAAAATTTGTAACTCCTTTCTTTGGGATAATAAGGGGGAGAGGCGCATTCATTGGTCCTCCTGGGACAAGTTGTGCTTTCCAATTGATGAAGGGGGGCTGGGTTTTCGGTCCTTCAAGGACATGGCCCGGGCTTTTGCGGTTAAACTTTGGTGGCGTTTTAGGCTTGGAGAGTCGGTTTGGGCTAAATTCATGCATGTCAAGTACATAAAAGGAGTCCATCCAGCGGAAGCTTCGGTAGAGCAGGCAACAGGTACCTGGAGGCGTCTGGTGGCCATTCGACATATGGCGGAGCAGAACATTAGGTGGTCTTTAGGGGAAGGCCTTGTGGATTTTTGGAAGGATAGGTGGGTTTTCCATGAGCCTTTAGAGACGGTGGTGGATCGTTCCCTGAAGCCTCATTTTATTGTCTCGGAATTTATTACTAGGGATGGATGGGATGAAACGCGTCTGGCTCAGTGGGTTCCAGGGTTTGTCATACAGGCGATCAAAGATGTGCCTCACGATTTAGATCGAAAGGATATGATGGTTTGGGTGCCTTCCCCAACAGGAGGTTTCACGGTTAAGTCGGCTTGGGATGTGCTTCGGCAAAGAAGGCATCGATCGGTGGTTGATTCCCTACTCTGGCCTTCTATATTGCCGGCAAAAATGTCCTTTTTTGCATGGAGGCTGGTACGTAATTTCCTTCCTTTAGATGTGACGTTGCGTGATCGGGGTTTGATTTTGCCCTCTTGGTGTGGGTGTTGTTACCTGGAGGAGGAGGCTCTGTTGCATGTCTTTTTAACTGGGCCGGTTGCTTTGGAAGTATGGCGGAGGGTGTCTGGCCGGTTTGGGTTTCAGTTGCGTAATTGTTCGCGTATGGCGTCGGTTTTTCTCTCTTGGCACATTACTGCACCTACATCAGCGAAGGAACACATCCGGGCAGTCTTGCCAATTATAGTATGCTGGTTCATTTGGTTGGCCAGGAATCAGGAGCGCTATCAGGGCATGCGATGAGGGGTAGACAAAATACTTCGCGAGGTGGATTGTTTTTTGGATCAGCTTGGGAGGGCAGGTAAGTTTTGTCGTGCGCATTTTAAAGGGGATGCGGATTGTGACTTGCTAAAATTCATTAAGGCCTCTCCAAGGAGGAGGGTCCCGTGTGCGGTTGCCTGGGCGAAACCTCCACTCGGGTTCTTTAAGCTTAACTCAGACGCCAGCGTGAATCGTGGTAGGGCCTCGGGTGGTGGTCTGCTGCGTGATAGTCAGGGGAGGTTGATATTTGCTTTTTACAAGGAATTTGGTGAGCAAGATGTATTGGAGGCAGAAAGTTTGGCTTTGCTGTTTGGTTTGCAGGTGTGTGCTCAACGGGGGATTTGTCCATCGTTGATTGAGGTGGATTCCAAAACTTTGGTCCAGCTGCTTGCATCGGGGGTAATTGCGAAGTGGCCTTTATGTAATGTTTTGCGGAAGATTAGAGACATACTGGATGGGTTTTCGGCGTCTATTTCACATGTTTTCAGGGAGGCTAATTCATCTGCGGATAGGCTAGCAGCTGTTGGGGCTGGTGGCACCTGGGTGTATGATCAGGCTCATCAACTTCCGCCGTTAGTTCGGGCTTCGATTAATCTTGACTCACGAGGAGTGCCGGGTCTTCGTTGGGTAATAGAAGAGGATTAGGGCTTTTTTGTTTTTCTGGTTGTAACTTTAAAAGTTAGGGGATGTATTTCCTCTCAAGGGTTGGTAGTTCTTGTTTGAAATAATATTTGGGGCTGGCTTCCCCTCCCCGTATACAGGGTTTGCCAAAAAAAAAAAAAAAAGGCCATCTTTGTTCAGTCTTTTTGACTTGAGAAAATATGTCAACTCATTATCTTGACTCTAGTTCTAAAAAAAAAAAAAAAAAAAAAAAAAACGTACAAAAACGGCTAGCTAACATTCTTTTCCAGGTCTATCATTTCCTATCCTTCCTATATACGGTAGTCAAAAGCCTCTAAAATACTCCAAAAGTGACGGCCTAGTCTGTCGTTGGGCTAGTGGACCCACCCGATAGGGTGGATTCACCTCCAGCCCCGACCCCCACACACAAAGCCTCGTCGCTCTCCTCCTCGAGTAAATCGTCACAAAGGTTCAAGATCGACTTGGCTCGAACCCTCACTTTCCTAGCTCTCTTGGTCATACGCTCACGTGCCTCTCCAAGTTGAGCGCAAAGGTCATTCACCCTATCTTGCCCTTCGATCACGTCGTACTCTAGTTCCTTGATTCGCTCAGCTTGTTTCTCGTTGGCTGCCCTCAGTTGGTTTAACTCGGCCTCGAGCCTAGCGTTATCTTTTGCCAACTCCTTTTGTTCCTCAACCACGGCCAACACGACGGTGTGGGGTAGGCGTAGGTGTGGCGGCACTCGCACCGTCAGAGGCGGTTAGCCAGGCTCCAATGTACGACGGCTCCTCGTGGCCAGACCAGATACTTAATCACTGGAAGCACTCCATAAGGTCGCTCACCGGCGGAGCTACTACTCGGCCCACTATGCCCGTCCATCCTACACCTAAAAACGCAGTTAACTTAAGGACTATTAAAGAAAGAAACAAGTATAAACCTCAAGTTGAGCATTTCCAACACGCCCAGGCTAATTCAAACCTAGACTCTGATACCACCTGTGACAGCCCCACCTTCCCCTATGGCAAACCAAAGGGGTTAGCGGACTGCCTGCCCAACTCTCGCCAGGACTAACGGGACCATTCAATACGATTTAAAACGTTCCGAAACATACAAGCGCGCCTAACCAAGCCAAAATCATAGAAATAAAAAAAATGAAAAAAACGGAGCCGACATGAACAGTGCTGGACACGTCAGAATCTGGTTGAAATCTGGCCGGATACTAGCCAGAGAGCAATGGCCGGATTTCATTTTTCCTCAGGGCAATCCGGCCAGTTTCTTGGCCGGATTCGACTCAGTCCTTTCCCACCAAAATTTTTTCCTTTCGCTGTTTGAAATCCGAATCTGTCCGAAATCCGGCCAAACATCAACAAAGCATATAGACCAAGGAATCACATAAAACCCAAATAACATAAAACCTAAATAACATACCAAACACATTTATACATGTACGTTTCCAAATTTACAACTCAAAAGAAAGGTCGGATCTAAATCCAACTAGGGCTTTGTACATTGAGGAGCTATTCAAAATGTGTTTAATCAAGCTCAATTCGGCAACCAAAGTATCGAGGCCTTCCAAAAGGTTTTCAAATCCCTGTAAGGAAAACAAAAGAGAATAGGATGATTTTTCGCCCAATGAGGTACTTCCACTCAAGCAAGGAAGTTCAGTTAAGCATAAATCCGATCATTCCAAATTCATTCAATAAGAAGCCAACTAAAGTCACATATCAATACAAGTGGTAAAAGGATACGGACGGCTCTCAAGAGCCCCTTTCCTCGCTTGTCATCCTTGATCATATCTCATTGACCCATCGTCAATGTACAAAGAGTAACCAAACATAGACTCCACTTTACTCCCTTTCCTTCCACCTCACATACCCCAACCGGGCTCGAACTCCAAACAGTTTAGAATTGGTAATACTCGAGTATACCGGAATCGAGAGTCTCATTATGACACCTCCACCTCTTCCTAGGGCAGACCCTAGGGTATCAGCGGGCTGCCTACCCAACTCTCGCCGGAGCTCGGTCGATCAAAGAACTAGCAACTCAAATAACTGGAGAAATAACTTCAAATCAAAGCGTACCAACTGTAATGGCATAAAAACGTCAAGCCAACTTTCCAAACTTCAAATGGCAAGCTAAAAGTCACACTTATCACTCCATACTACAATTACATAACATAAGTCGGACTTATAGAATCAAGCTTACAGGAGTCAAAAGTAAGGTCTTCTTAAACAAAAGGTTACAATATCAAGATACAAGTTCATAGCAAAACAAAGCTAGGTAAACTCTTGATCAAATCCCTTCCCGATCTGTTAAGGAAAACAAAGGGAATGGGGTAAACTAAAGCCCAGTGAGGTTCCAAATAAAACAAGTAACCACATAGCCATATAAGGTCACAAAACAACCAAATAAACACCATTCAGTAGAGTAACAGTTAATCACAGTTCAATTCAAGGATATGGGTGGCTTTCAAAAGCAAAAGATCCCCTGGAGCTTGATCATAATTGTCTTCTGTTGACACTCCGTCAACACTTGTAAGCATAGTATAAAAGAGTCCGTAGAACACCACTTTCACCAGTCTCCGTCCACCAAATCAACCCCCTACCGGGCCTGCACTCCATAAACAGTAGTTTGGTAATACTCGAGTATACCGGTTTTAGTGTACAGTAAACAGTCCTTAAGGTTTATCGGCCTTCTCGACCAAGCCCCTGCTGGCTCAATACGACCGACTCACCTATGAGGTTGGGTACCCAAACAGTAACAATAGTTGATGGAATATCATCCAAGCAACTTAAGCACAGTCATGTATAGCAATATCTCATTTCATGTTAACTTATTCAGTAAGTGGAGCCTCAGTGGAAAAACAAGGAAGGTCGGGTGCGATAAAGTACACACTCGCCTCGATTTTAAATAAAACAGTGTTTGGCTCAAACAATAGCAAATCAACGATTCCAAGTATGCAAGTATTCCACATAACAAGTAGCAAGTAGTGGAACACTCACCTGTCAAGCAAAAGTAGCAATTGACGTCAAACGTCTCAGTTACTATCACCTTCGTTGCCCAAACCTAGGTCAACGAGCAAAACCATTAACAATTGGATTCGTTCCTTACTAAAGTATAGGTTCATTAAGAGACCAAGTGAGTGGCCAAAGCTACTTAATCTATCATGCAAATGAGGTCCAAACCATGGGAAAAGTTGATAAGAAAACAAGTTTGGAGTGTACATGAAAGTTCGGCAAAAGAAGAGTTTCACCGAAGCTCAAAAGTTTCATTACGGTTAAACTGTCTCGCCTGACCAGCCTTGGGAAAACGGTCATTGCTCATTGTGAAAAAATCAGAATTAGGTTCCGTCAGTGGTGTTGGAAACTAGGTTCACAAATCTATATTTGTCTGGAAGAAACCATTTCCAAAATTCCAACGTAAGTGGTTCAAAATTAAGAAACCAAAAGAAATTTCTGGGCTGTCTCGGGTGAACAGTACCGCACGGACAGCCAACTTTCAAGACTCGCCACGAATCGCTCGGGTCAAACCAGAAAATGAGCATGGTACCATTTTAAAGCTCTAAGAATCTATTTTCAAATGCCACAAACATCACTCAAATCTGATCACCGAGTAAAACGTTATGACCTTCACAAGACGGCTGGTCAGTAACTTTCTAGACCCAGTCCAGTTTTGCTCCTTGGCTTATAACTCATAACTTATGCAATCAAATTGGCTAATTTTTTGTAGACAACGTCCACACATATAACCCAACATATATCAGTCACATTTGTAGCCAAAATATGCATGAAAATATCAAGGAAAAACAGGGCAGTAAGTTATGGGAAATTTCGGCCAGCCCTCTTCCAAAAATTTCGAACTTTCATCCTTCTTGATATTTTCACTCCTTGCACCTAACAAGTGTTAGATCTAACCAAATAGGGGTTTAAATCATATTAATACCTCATAACCACACATGAACAAGGGTTAGATATTTCATCAAACACTTGGTATGCACACTTACTAACTCACTTACTACTTGTTTCGTTCAAGAGTTTTAACCACAATTTCTAGTTTAGGGCAACCTCTAGTTTGCCCTCAAGACGTTAAGTACTTCATATAACACAATAGAACCAAAGATTAAGGATCACACGCCTCATAAATAACCAAGACCAAAGTGCAAATATTTCATCAAACACTTGGTAGGCATGCCATATAACTCAACTACTCTTTGATTTATTCCAAGAGATTACTCCAAATCTCAATCAAACAACTTGTAGTTTGCCATTAACACTTTGATGCACATGATATATTACCATAAAACTACCATTTAAAGTGTACTTACCTTTCTTGTAAGATGCTTGAGCCACCAAATCAATCCACCAAAAGTGAGAACTTCAAGCTTGCATCAAGCACTAGATTGGAGGAAAAATTCTCACTAACTCAAACTCTTTCTCTTTTGATTTTTGCTCAAGTTTAAGCTAGGGTTAGAAAGCAAGATGTTGGAGCTCTCTCTCTCTTCCTTGCTAAGCCCTAAGAAATTTGGCCATAAGGAGAAGAAAATGGCCAAGTCCAACTTAAATTTGTCTCTTAACCCTTAATCAACAAAATGCTTGGCTAGGATTTTGCCACACGGTCACTTCTTGTCCACAACTTCTATTAATCCTTTAACTAATTATGTTTCAACCCTTCCAAATGTACCAATACCTATTTAACACTACTAATATCTCACATAAAGTCCCTACCACAAATAAAAACCACTTGGTACAATGTAAGTAGTGAAAAATGAAACTAACTCAATAAAATTGTTTTAGTTGAAGTGAAAGGATATGAAATGTAATGCATGGAAATTGTTTTAATACATATAGAATGCTATGCAAGGGCATATTATAAGTGGTGAAATAGTTAAAACTAACTCAAGAAAAATGTTTTAAATTTCTTAGAGTATACGATAACACATAGGGGATACAATGCTAGGGCTTATAATCCGTGGTTTCATTCTTAGAATAAGGCATGTAGTTTAGAAAAATTGTATTTTAAAGTGA